CCAGAATACTCATACTTCACAATGTTGTCCATAGCTTGTCATGATCCACACAATTGAAAGCCTTTGCGTAGTCAATAAAGCACAGGTAAACATCTCCCTGATATTCTCTGCTTTTAGCCAAGATCTATCAGACATCAGCAATGATATCCCTTGTTCCACGGCCTGTTCTGAATCCAGCTTGAACTTCTGGAAGTTCTCTGTCAATGTATGATTGTAGCCATTTCTGTATTACCTTTAGTAAAACTTTACTCAAATGGGCTATCAAAGAGACATATAAATGTACTAATGTCATAACACATTAGTACATTTATATGTCTGCACAATACACATTGGTTTGTTGTTGTTGCTGTGTTTAAGTGCTGTTGAGTTGGTTCTGACTCATCGCAACTCTGTATAGGGTTTCTGAGGAGCAGCTGGTGGGTTTGAACAGCCAACCTTGTGGTTAGCAGTCTAGTGCTTATCCTACTGAGCTTATATCTCTTTAAAGACAAGACTCCTCTCCAGGGCCTACAAGCTGCTTTGTGATCTGCCTCAGAGGGACCTCTCTAACCTCTGTCCCTCCACCCTTAGTCAGTTGCTCATACTACCTCACCGGCCCCACCATGGGCCTTTGCACATGCTGTTCCCTCCCTCACACTCTTCTCTTGTTCAGTCTCACTCATGTAGACTATCTCAGATCAAGTGTCACCTCCTCCAGGAAGTTCTCCTGATCTTCCTGCAGAGATAATATCCCCCTGCTTTAGGCTCTGATAGCCTCTTTCACAACACTTATGATCTATCATTTTATATTTGCTTGAGTGATTCTTTGATAATGTGTCCTCCAGTGTATTTTAAGTTCTCTCAGAGGAAGGCCTTACCTGTGTTTTTCACTACTGTACCTCTGTCCCCCTGTACACAGCAGGTACCCTTATCTCTTGAATAAAGAAGTTGATGAATATACTAGGCCTGGTGATGGTCCTGGTGTGCTGTGAAGTCAGTTCCGGCTCACAATAACTCTGTATAGGGTTTCCAAGGCTCTAAATCTTTACAGGACCAAAATGCCTCATCTCCTCATCTGTCTCCCATGGAAAAACTGGTAGTTTCAAACTGCTGACCTCAAGGTTAGCAGCCTGACTTGTAACCACAAGGTTAGCTACCAGAGCTCACATATGTATCTATTCACATGTGTGACTGTGTACAGGTGTGTGTATTTGGATCTCTGTATCTGACAGAGCAAAGCATCCATGTTTGTGCAGCCTAGAGAAAGTATGAACATATGTGTGCCCTTGTACAATTAGAGATCAGGCTCAGTGACGTGCTAGAGCCAGCTCATACCACGTCATGTACACATTCACATTCCCTAACAGTCCATCGGTAGCATGAAATTAGCCACAGTGGAAATATTTATATAATTGAAATTGGCAAACACTACAAATCAGGGCTTAATTTTCTTTTTAAGTCATAGAGAACCCATTGTTAAATGCTTAATAGTATACTACTAGTCCCAGCATTCCTCTAATAAGCCCACATCCAGAGCAGCAGCTCTTGTAGCTAGAAGCTAGATTGTCTGGGCCAGATCCTAGGTTCACAGTTACTAGCTGTGTGATTTATGTGCCTTCATTTTCTCATCTGTGAAATGGGTTCAATTAGAGTGTCTACCTCATATGGATGCTGCAAGGCTAGACTGAACTAAGCTACATAAAGCATTCAGTAAGTGTTGGCTAGGATGTTTCTTAGCATGGCTTCTAGAAGATCTTCATCTAATCTAAAAAAAAATTGGCTATTGTTCAAACATTACTTCTTAGACATACAGGACCCTCATCCACACCCCTGCCTTCGGGAAGGAGAACTACTTCACCTTGCCCCAAAGCCCAGGTACTCACATTGAGGTCTAGCTCCAGGAATTCTCCAGTTACAAGCGGAAGGCTGGAGAAGGTATACTGAACACTTCCCAATATTCCCAGTGGAACCAGAGCTGCAGGCAAAAAAGAATGTCAAGAGAACAAACAAGATGGTGGATC